AACTTTATTACCTTCATTATTTCCTTTAACTATTGAATAAAACACATATTTGCTGAGTATTTTTTCAATCTCTTAAACCTTGATTTTATTATCTTCAAAATTTAATTCATTACATTCTTTACCAAATCTAAATGAATTATATTTAAATTGTATTATAAAGCTAAACTGGATTTTATTATATATATAATACCTCATGTATAATTGAATTATAAATCATCTATATTCATACAAATATAAATATCATCTTGATACAAAATTTTATATCTTTAATATATCATATAATAAAAAAAATTTATATATTGTTTATTTAAAAAATTTTATTCATGTGCACATGGTGCACGTGCATTTATACTAGTTTCTTTAAGTGTCATTCATTAATCAGCTTTAAATAAAAACAAAAAACTAACTCCTGTAGCCCTCGATGTCATGACCAAGATAATTCTGATACAAGCATGTTCTTTTTATTTTTCTTAGTTTCTGCTAGTTTTCTAATGGGCCACTTAAGATGCTTGTTGGTTTGGATGATCAACATATTAGTCTGTGTGGAATATGATTGTGTAGATCAATTGGATTGTATTGTTACCTTGGATCTCAATTTAATTTGTCATGCTAGCGGGGGGCCTCCCTTGCTTTGCACCAATTATTTTTTCCCGTACAATGCCCAACTCTGTGTTCCTAAACATCTCAGTGCCGAAAGGTAGTAGGGAGAAATGACAGAGAGCATAACGTCCAATGCTCTAAATTTAGCTCCGCAGCACTTTCAAATAGATTGATGACAAAGGCTTGAGCGCCACAGGGTTTCGAGGCAAATTGAACAATTTTTTTTTTCTCTCGTTTTTCTTAAGGGTCATGGTGTCCCTTGGTGTTATTACTTGACTTTTTCTTGTGTTTTGAGTGCGAGAACGGCATAAAAGAGAAGAGGAGCAAGAAGAGAGTGAGAGAGAAGATAGTTTTGTACTTATTTCTCCCAATTTTCATAGTGGATTTATTGGTGTGGTGTGACTCCATGATTTTTTCCCCGATTTCAAGTTTTTCCGCATAAAATCCGGGCGTCTTTTACTTTTCGATGCATTTCTAATTTTCATGTTTGTTTCGTTGCATAGTTTACTTCTCCATCTCCAACACAACGTGATGAAGACAAGTTGTTAGTTGAGAGTAAGCAAGTGGGGATTATAATAATCAATGTATTATAAGGCAACTCAATCCCTTCGAGGGTATGCATATATGATAAGGTCTCATGAAATGATTATTATGAATAAAGATGTAAGCCTTATTAAACTTTTCTCAGGTTCAGGAGTCTCATTCTTTTCACTATAAAGGATTGGATGGGCTTTCTTCTTAGTAGAAAAAATAACAAGCACAAGTGCAATGGGAAATTTAAACTCTTATCTAAATTCCTTGACCGAGAAAAAATTTGAAATATTGCTCAGAAAGCCCTCTATATTGATGGGAGGAATCTTGGCTACAAATAAGCTAAAAAATACAAGGTTGTGATTCTAAGATGAAAAAAGAGTTTGAATATAGACTTCCCAATGTTAATAACTTCATGTGATGCCTTAGTGAACCTTAAGATATACTATCATAATCAATCACTCTATTTTGATTGATACAACAGAGGGAATGATGGTTGCTCATAGGTCATCACTTAGAATGTGAAATTTGAGCAAGAAAAAAGGTAACAAATTATTTAAAAGAATGAATGCTCAAAGGAGTCAAAGAGTAAAACAATCACCTAACA